GGTTTTTTTTTTTTTTTTTTTCCGGGTAACTGCACGATGTTGAAAGCTCGGGCCATCCTGAAAAGAATAAACAGATGCACCCAGAGGAAACCCAGCATTAACGATTATCTAATGGTTTCAAGATCTAGCAAAATGGAATCGAATTGGGACTGAAAATTGATAGATAAATAGATAAATAAATAAGGGTATTAGATAAATAGATAAATAAATAAGGGTATTAGATAAATAGATAAATAAATAAGGGTATTAGATAAATAGATAAATAAATAAGGGTATTAGATAAATAGATAAATAAATAAGGGTATCTGCTACTTATCAAGCTTTCCTTAATTACAAGTCAAATTTTTCATGGTAAAATAACAAAGTGTTTCTTGGCTGGCCTCAGCCTTTTGATTCTTCGGATTTTCCATTGGCTTGCTTCGTGAGTTGCTCCGATAAAGACTCCACCTCCTCTTCCACCTCCTTTTCCAACTCTTCCACCTGATTTTTAATCTTAATAAGAAACAAAGCAAACCCAATTTTTACTTTTTTTTTTAAAAAAGAGGCTCAGTTTACAACATGAATGCTACAAATATTGCAAAATGCCTAGTTTATTTCATGTAATATTATAGCATGTTTAAAACAGCCTGCATTGGCTGTCAATGGGTGACGCAAGTGGTTGGTTTTGATTTTCGATCTGGACTGAAAACAAGTTGGGCATGCTTTTTTTTTTTTCAATCCTTTCTTTAAAGCAGGCAGCCAGCAAGAACATGAAACTTGCCGATTTTTTTTTCCTGCTAGTTATAATTCAGCCTTAGGACCATGTTGTTCGCAACTAAAACGAATCGGTACACGACTAAAGTGAACGTCAAAATCTTCAACAACGAGCATTTAGGCTAACGCATTGATTCTGCGTTTCGAGAAATACATTTAACCTGATATAAGGAAACGATTCATGCTGACACAATTAACAATCGTTTTATATGGTGTTAGGTAATTAATTGCTAAGACAGAAAACAGTGTATTAGGCAGTACCTTTTCAATTATTTCATCAACTACATTAGCATCCTTCGCTGTTTCTTTCGCGACGTTTTCAACAAATGTGGCCACTTCTTGAAGTTTCCCACCTTCCGGCAGATGATCGGCAACTTCTTCAGCTACCTTCCCCACTTCCTCAGCCACCTCTTCTACGATGTCTGCAACGTGATCTGCTATCTCCACCACTTCTTCAACTTTGTCTACACATCCAATTTAAAAGCTAAGTACATAGGATTCCATAACTCATTCACAGCATGTGAGTTTTTATTGAGAATTGACAAGGCGAGTCTTTCGATCCCTTACCTTTTATCAACAGTAATGGCCCCCATTTGCTTCTACAAAAGGGTAGAATTATTGATATTAGCATTCCCAGAACCCAACCCTTCCTGCTAGTAGATCACCATAAAGTTGTATTAAACTGGCCGGGAACATGAAATATAAGGGCAGAGTGCAATTTATCTGTTTTAAAGATCGTTGGTAAAGTCAACTCACCAAGGAGAAGGAGAAGAAGGATGAGCAGGTCCTGTTCCATGACTATTGTATACAGCCATTTCCCTGCACCATTACATGGATTAGACTCAGAGCTGCAAGATATCTGCATCTGGATGATTAATGTTATGCCCAGAAAAGTTTTGCAAAAGGAAAATAGACGTACATCTTTGTATTTCTTGCATAGAGCAATTTCAGAGAGGTGCCGAAAACTTTCAGCCTTTGATTTCTAAGAAACTGGCTTTTGAATTTGAGTTTTGAGATTTCCGAAGTGCTATCAGATACCGGACTAGGGGCTAGAAATATCTGGCCAACGGAACTGTCGGGAAACACTGCTCTTGTTACAGGCATCATCAATGCCAAGGTTAATTTCCAACTCGTGCAATCAAAGAAATCCCTCGATCAAATCGAAGATATATATCTCAAAAGTTTTAAGTTCGGTGCAGAACGTGCTTGGAAATTTTAGATTATATTGACTCGTAGAAATGGTCGAACCACATATATATATTGCCACTTGGCCAGGAAAGTCAAATTACTACTATTATCCTCCCTTGCTTCGCGTTACATGATAAATTTATGATAAATTTTCTAGTCGATTACAGTCCATCTTGGCGTGCAATGAGAAAACAAAAGAAAATGTGCTAATCTCCCGCAAGGTCATCCAAGTTTTCGTGTTGAAATACCATTGGGATTTAAGACAATTAAGAATATTTTTGTTGGCTTGAAAAAGATTACTTTATAAAGACGCCACACTCCCTGTTCCATATCAAATGATAATTGAACAAAAAAAAAAAATTCTGGTTTTGTAAGAAAATAATAATTGGGAAAACATCAAAGTCACTCTTCCAAGTATCCAAAAATCTCAATTAGGTTCAAAAGCTAAATAATTTCTCAATCGAATCCTCTGACTGAGATTTTTCAGGGAAGAGATTTAGTGGTATTAGGCCCAAGGACAAAGAAAGGGTTGCGGAGTCCGACATCCCAAGCTGAGGCCCGAAAAAAGAGCCCAGTAAGGATTGAGGCCGAAAGATTTCAATAATCTATCAAATTACGGATCAGAAGGTATGGTATTTGCTAAATTGTTAATTTTTATTTATTTTTTATATATATAACTGGCAGCATTATAATTTGGATTGTGCCGAACACGCCGAATCTGGGATCTTTGAACGCCATCCCTGAACCAGGGGGGGCGGTGGCAGGGGTCGGGAAATTTTTCCCAGCCCCTCCCTTTATAAAATAACTAAAATTTTAATCTTTTTAAAACAATTCTTTCAATTGGGTCCCTTTCAATTTTTATTTTCCTTACTCCGCCCCTGTGTGGCACCACGTATCATGATGAATTTAAAGATGATTGAGCACGATAGAAGCTTCGCCAAACGGTCGTTTCAGTGCCTGGGAAGAAATAGGAGAGGGAAGGGTAAGGGTTGACTGGTAAAAAAGTCAATGGAACCCTAAACTCGGCTTCACAGCTTGTTTGATTATCGTCAATAGACTTTCGTTCGAAGATAGACAGATTAGAACAAGCAGAGTTGCCAGCCCTATTTGCGTGTCGTGTAATCAACTGGACGAGTGCAGGGATCGCATCGCATGTTTTTTATTGCCAGTTTACATAGATGGTTTGAGGCGAGGTTCTACGCAACTGTAATATTAGTAGATAAGTTTGAGATGGTATACGTGGATGTCAAACTAGGGATTAGAATTTCTAGGATATCTAATTAATTGATATTGTCTCACCTACATCAATACTACTAACAGATGCGAATTGAACCGATCACAATGGCTATGGCGAAGAAAAAATGAGGCATTAAATGAACTTATTCAACGCATTTGAGCCGAGACTGACTTCAAAGAAAATACAACATATACGGGAGAGCTCAATTCTTCCACAACTTGGGTTTAGGGTTGAAATCCCGATGATAGTCCTATTTGTTAACATTACAGGGATATTTTAGATTTTATAAACTAAGAATTTCTAGTTTTCAAGGTAAAAACAATCTTAAAGTTTATTTAGAGTGAGAAAATAAGGTGAATTAGATTTTTAAATGTCATAGTTATTATGGGTAAAAAAGGATAAAACTTGTGATACATGAATTTGTTGATTACACGATTTATTTCATGGGATCAGAACAGAAAGAGGCCTCTTTTATTGAATTAGATACTCGAAAATTCATATTGATACCTCTTCTTGCACATCCTGTTTGAAGTGAAAATATGAAGGTCATCCAACTTATTCTCTGTTATCTTCTTTGCCTACCAGATTTTCCGGATGCTTAAATGGCTCAGACGCTGTCTCCATCACTTCCCGCTTCAGTTCATCCTCCTACAGTGGTACCAAAATCAGACCAAGTGTTTAACTACCGAGTACTGATACATAAAACTGTCATTAGAAAAAGAAGACGATGAATTTTGGATGGAAACAGCCACCGTATTTGGTGAACTTTACATGTGAATCAGGTCCATGGGCATCTGTTAAATTATTTTAGTGTTTTTTTATTATTTTAATATACTAATATTAAAAATAAAAAAAATATTATTTTAATATATTTTCTATTAAAAAAAATACTCTTAAAAAAATTCACCGCCACTTTTTGTAATACTAGAAAATTCCATGGTTTGGAAGCTTTTCATAACCTTCTAAGCCACCCAGCAACTTTCTCCACCACATCAGCCACATTCTCCACTGTCCCTGTAACTTTTCCCACACTACATCACAGAAGTTCATAATATGAATCACATAAATGCCCATCCAAACTGCAGTTTTGTCAATCGTCTTCTTTTTTCAGTTAAGGTCATCCACAATTGCAAATTATAGAAGATGTGGAAATGAACTAATCCAGTAATTTAGCCGCCACGGGACACCTCGAAACAGACAGAGACTTCCTTTTGACACCACCAGTACTCTTGTAATAAATCCTGTTCTGATATCCCTTTCTTTAAGCTTAGAACTTCTACTTAACCCTTGTATGAAATTCTTTTGCGCTATTTGTCTAATCGGTAACATTTTATTTTAGGATTTACACTTAGATGTTGTTAGGTATAACTTTAAAACTGATTTAATTCTTTTTTAATTTACCTTTGAGTTTTAGCAAACATTCCCATTTCTTCTCCCAGGAAGGCTGGAGCATAAATAACATTGATTTGCTTGTCGCATTAACCTACATAATGCATTGTGTTATTGAAATGAACGGATCTATCTATGCCAGTAAAGAGGAGAAAGGGATTTCTTGGTAAGTAAAGAAATCACCATATTAGAAGGTTCAAGATGGATTTATGTTGAGATGTAACTTCAAGGAACCATTTTTTTTGTCATTGTTGATGCCCTTTTTGTTATTAATAACACTAAATTTACTAAATATATTAGATTAGTGAGTAATAATATTTAATTTATCATATTTATTATTAATATTTTTTTATTTTTAATATTTATTTATATTTGATTAATAAATATAAAATAAAATAACATTCAAAGACAAAATTACTTTGCAAATAAAATTATAAAGTTGTTATAATTATTTGAGTTTTATTTCATCAAATTATTATTCCTAAATGTTCTTGGTCAATGTTTTATTAAGACTAAACACTAAATAGAGACAGATATATATCATATTTTTTTTAAATTAAATAATTATTCTTGTAAATTGAGATACAAAAAATATTTAAAATTAATATGCATATACATATCAAATGATATGTACACTGAACTAACCCAGAAGATAATTTCATATAAAAAAATTTATATATGTAAAGCAAATTTGATAGTTAAGTAGATAATTTTTAAATTTAAAATTATTAAATTATTTTATATATAAAGTGTCATGCTTCAATTTTGAATTACATATTATCCTAATCAAAGATAATAAACAGACAAATATTGAAAATAACATAAATTATATAAATATATTTGAATAATTAATAGATGATTCATTACCTCTAAATGAATTAGATAAAATATTTTTTTAATTTTTAAATAATATTGATTGTAAAATTCTTTATCAATGTGGAATAATGTTGGGAAAAAATTTAAATTTTATTCAAAAAATCAATTATTATAATATAGAGAATTAAAATAATTTAACAAAGTACATACATCTTAAACATAAAATAAAAAAAGAGTTAATATTTTAATATATATTAATTCTTTATAAAAAAAGATTTAAAAGAATATTTACTATATTATTATTAAAGGCCCGATATTAAATGACCTATAATTTACAAAAAAAACCCATATATATATATATGTGTGTGTGTGTGTATCATTATCTCCATTGAATTGGGACCATAAATTGTATATATATAAACTTCACATGGCAGATACGAGGTCCATTTCACTTCATAGGTCTATACTGTCTATAGACTCTTTGCTAATCCGGCTGTGACACCAAGGATATCTTACCAGGGACGGTATAGATTGCACCAACTTGGAGATATTTTAAAATAATAATGATAATGACATCCTACCAAAATAGTAACAGGACGACTCCAAAAATATTATAGCGCACCTAATAGATAAGAAAAAAGGGGAAAAGAAGATGGCCATCAGAAGAGAAGTACTTGCACAGGAAAGGGAAGTTTAGTTTGTATTGGTACAGATCGATTCAACTTATTTTATGCACGGCCTGACAAGATCAAGCAATGCTGTACTGTATTGGTACTCTTTTTTTGGTTTTTGATTTTGTAATGAGAATGTAGCTGATAGTGCTCTCGATAGTCTACAGAAGCCCTATTGTTATATTTATTACCGGATGAAGGAGAATGCGGAGACTACATTCACAGCACCGAACTTGTTTAACTTGTTTTCAGCCTGTTGTAGCGTCTTTGATCTCCTTGTACTGTACTATGAAAGTATAAAAAGGGGCAAAAATACAAGTAAATACATGGCACAGAAAAACACAACCAGATAAGAGTTCTCTACGACAAAAGACAAGGAACTTCTAGATTCGGAGCCAAACCTACCAAACACATCAGTAACCTTGTTGATTAAAAATTGAAAAGGACGTTTTTCGTAACTTTGTTAATTTCTTTTCTTTCGATTGAAACAAAAGATAGTAAGCTCGCCCACTAAGCCTCACACAAACACATTGTTGCAGATCTATCTTTACTTCCCTTCTCAATTTCTTCCACTTTTAACAGTTTCTTTAATGGCGATGAAACACAGAAAACTGTTCCCAATTGGAACTGAAACAAACCAGACTATAGACTGCCCTGACTTCTGTGACCCAGCTTGTCCTTATAATTGCTATCCTTACTCAGACTACTTTTTGCTACCTCCACCTCCACCACCTCCATTCCTGCCCCAAGAACGTCACTTATCACCATATGTGATCATCATAGTTGCTTTGCTAGCCAGCTTCTTTCTTATTGTTAGCTATTATGTTATTGTGGCCAAGTCTTGTTCTGGTTGGTGTGGTTCCAGGAATAACACGGAGCCCCAGGCTCAGGAAGATGATACAGATGAAGAGTTTCTTGATGAGAACCGGGTTGATCACCCGATATG